CCAGGTTTGGTTGACCTGCCTCTGTTCAGAGGTTAACAAGTATTGCATGTCACCTTTAGTCCAATGAGTAGTGCCTTAAGCCACCACTTTAGTATGGGAATTTGAAGAGTAAGCTCTGAATAAGGAAGAATAGCAAATACTGGTTCATAGTATTTTTTTTTTTTTTAACCATCATGACTAAATTCTTGTTATTTGCTGTGACTTTGCTGATGCTAGCTAAAAATAGAGGGTAACTTCTGAAAATATTGCATTAACCTTAAGCCACCACTTTAGTATGGGAATTTGAAGAGTAAGCTCTGAATAAGGAAGAATAGCAAATACTGGTTCATAGTATTTTTTTTTTTTTAACCATCATGACTAAATTCTTGTTATTTGCTGTGACTTTGCTGATGCTAGCTAAAAATAGAGGGTAACTTCTGAAAATATTGCATTAATTATTGATTATATACTTTCTTCAAGAACATCTCATTTTTAACACTTGCAGGTCTATTCAGTTCTCATGGTAGTGAGGGACAAATGGCACCACTTGTCTGGACTGCAGCTGACTCCAGCCAACATGCAGACTTCCCACAGGTGTTCCTGCTAAAATGCACATTGCTGTGGGTCCTCATCACTCCTCGTGTTTTCATCCTGAACATTTCTACAACCAAGGATGGCCTTTCTGGTAAATTGATATCAACTCTACAGCAGTTGTGACACAGTGGAAAAGAACAGAATGGAATCAGCATCAGTTCTACACGTGTCACGAGTGATTACATGACTGTGGATATACAGAAGTTTTCATCCGTAAGAGTTATAAAATCCAAATCTCTTACAAAACTTGGTGACAGTTTTGGAGGTCCTAAAATGTTTTTTCTACTCTGTCCTTACCATAGGATAAATGTAATTGATAAAATTAAAAATAAAAGCATCCGTTTGACTGCAATGATGATTGCCAAAGATCAAGTTAGCACAGGACATTTCAATCTCTGTAAGAAGTGGTATGCTATTACTGCTTTCCAGGTTCATGTATACAAACCACTGTTTTTCATCTATACCTCACATTGCATATTTACCCTTAAGTATCATTAAACTGGGGTTTAGGCATCTGTGGGAGAAAAAAAACAAGGTGGTTCTTTTCCACTCACTTTATGGGCATTTGCTCTCATCAAAAATATCTAGTTCAGTGCATTTTTCACAGTGGTTGTTCACCTCATGCACTGTTGACCCACACTGGTTGCTAAATGCTGTCAGTGAACTGGAATGGTAGGTAGTGCTGCTCACTCTGGGGACCGACTGAAGGAGGAGCCGAGCATCTGCAGTTGCGGCCGAAGTCACATGGATGGCACCATTTTATACATCACCACTAGTACTCATGCAACATCATGTTTTACTGACAATGAAAAGTGAAATTAATTAGTTAATCATCATGCAACATGCCAGTGACTTGGGTTGAGAAGTATTATAGTCTAGTTCTTTAAATTTAGGGTTTTTTAAAAAAACTTAGTGGTTGAGAGAAAATTTGAGGAGAAAGTACATCAATGACAGTTTAAAAATCAGCCCTTTTCAGGAGCAGCAACACAGGAGCAGATAACACCATGTTAAATGGGGAGGAAGAGTACCAAGCCCTCTGCAGGGTAGTGGCATGGGTGGAAAAGCCTGCTGAGACTGTCATTATGCCACTGTACAAGTACGGCATAAGAGATAAGACCCCTATAGAGCTCAGTATCCAAACAGTCAAGACTTTCTGATAATATAGCCTCACCCTAATTTTTTTTTTTTTTTAGTAAGCTAAACAACAACAGTCTTTCCTTCATCTTTTTGCTTGTATGCAGGCCTGAAGGGAGAAATGGGTATTTAGGGGGTCAGAAACAAAAAACATTCCATCAGCAATCCCCTCACAGAAAAGCTGGCAGCAAAGATCAGGAGAAAGAGGGAGCAGCAACCGGCCAGCATTCGGGGAGAGGTCCCAGGGTGCAGTGTTGCTCTGCAGGGACATGGGACGAAGGAGCTGAAACCTGATGCAGGGCAGAAGGCAGGGAGGAGCAGCATGCCTCCTCGCCAACAGCAAAGCCCCAAGCAGCCGGCATGCAGGAGAGGGGCTACGGCAGCGATGGAGACAACCAGGGCCTCCAGAGCCTGTCTGAGCCAGCATGGAGAAGGGCAGTCATTTCCAATATTGCAGGGAAAAACAGTAACAGATTTAGTAATATCTTGGACATATGGGATGGGAGAAAGGACTTGAGCAAGACGAGTAAGCTGAAGAAGGTGGCTCTTCTGCGGCGAACAGGCTGGGACTATCAGGCAAGACCTGGGAATGCAACACAGACTGTGAAACAGCTCACAGTGCTGCACGATGCACTGCTCAAGAAAGGAGCATCCCACAGCTCAGGCCAGGAATTAAGTATTATCACAGTCACAGCAGCGATTTTACAATATTCCTTGGCTCCTTCTATTTGGTTTTTAAGCTTGTCCTTGAACAGTGACTCACCTAGGTCTTTCTTCTAAAGTGATATTATCAGAAAGTGGGGAATCTAGTGCTTCTGAGGGAAGAAACAAATATTTGTTTTCCCTTTTTGGTGCATCTTCTTTGCTCTTGTCATAGATTCAAAGCAGTATTTGTTGTGGTGGAGCACCCAGCATTTGCAATAAAATATTTTCTGCGATCATCAGGTACCTTACCTTCACTTTTTCAGTTAATTATCCATTAGTAAATCACCCAATAATTATCCATTCAGTAAATAACCCATTATTTGCTTCACATGCTTTAGGAAAGGGAAGATGTTACAAAAACCTGTCAAAAGTTCATTGAAGGAGACCGCCTTTTCTAAAACTGCCAGTCTTTAACATCAGAGTGTAAGCTTTTTTTTTTCCCCTATACTTGTTTGATAAACACAGTACCCCAGGTACCAGGAAATATTATTTTAACACCCAGAAAGCAACATTGTGTTACTGTGCAAACACAAACAGACCCTGTCAGGTGCCTCCTTAGTGTTCTCTGCAGAATTCACAGCTGGAGTTAGAAAGGGACTTGCACTGTCTGCCAAGGCACATATTAACTGAATTGTTTTCAAACAAATGTGGTCAGGATCCATAGCTGATAATAAATGTTCCAAGAAAAAATTACTCTAGGGCAAACTCCAGGAGAATTCTTCACTCTGATTTCTAGCTTGTCTGTGCACAGTGTTATCTCCAGCCCAGTCTCATCTCCACTATCGTCGCGCCACCAGCCACCGCCTAGCCTATTGCAAGGTACAGCTGAACGCTGCGGGGCAAAGCCCCCTCGGTGCTGCCTGCTCCCATATCACCACCTCCACCTTCCTGAGGGATTCTGAAACATCTTAGCTCATTCAGAAAACGATGTAATTTTTCATGGCATAAACTATTGCTCCATATGAAAAGACTATCAGAAAGCTGAGTCTTGGAAAAAAAAAAAGTCACCAAAACAGATAAATGCAATTCATTTTTTTTCCCCGTCAGATTCTTCCTAGGATATAGTCACTTTTGTATGCGTATGTTCAAGCCTGTTCCTTTCACTGCTATTGTGCTGGTGGTAATCATATGAAATATTACAGTCCCTCTTTTGGGAATGATAAATGCATTCTGCTCACATGAAGTATTCAAAACCATCTTTAAAAATAAGCATTTTCCCAAACCTGTATGTATTCAGCACTGTGTGCAGTGTAAGCTCAGTGGTAATGGACCTCAGTGACACAGCAGTGTGTCATCTTTTGGTTACATGTGATGATCACAGCATGAACCACAGCTTTATTTAAGCATTAACTTAAAAAAAAAAATCATTTGTCCATACACAGCCTTGCTTCATTTTAATTCTAAGGTTATCTTAAAACTTATGTAGTTAAACTAGACTCAGGCTTTAAGCCTAACTGATATGATACTCAAACCACCTGAAGATTATTCCTGCAATGGATATGCATCCAGTTAAACCACTTTGAGTTGTTCTGGTCAGGAAAAAACCCCAAACCCTGTGTTTGCTGAAGTCACTGGCAGTCAGCAGATCAATGCAGACAGCCGTGCTTCTAGTCCTAGCCAAGGCCCCAAGTTAGCCACACTCCAGGGGATGGGTTATTTCGTGCCCACGACTTTGGCTTGCATGAAGAGCAAGGCAGGTCCCTGGTGGCAGCGGGAGCCCAGCGGTGCCTCTCCTGCATGAACCACAGGGAGCTGGCATGCCGCTGAGCCCTGGGGTAGACTGGGTCTTCTGTAAAGAAGTCAGAGAAAATGTATTTGTGTGTATTTGAAACCTGAACTGAAAGGTTTGTCTGAGCATCCTACACACTGCAGCCAAAACAATACAATAGATAACAGACAAGCTGCCCTTGCCAGGGAACACCTTGACAGGGAAAAGCAGTGCCCAGATGTCACCAAATACTGCAGAGGGGGCTGCCTGGCTAAGCAGGGGTTCTGCGTTACCCGTGCCGTTGCATTAGGAACAACAACAACGAAAAACATCCCCCCCCCAAAAAAAAAATAAAAAAGAACAGAGCAGCTCAGCATTGCTAGCTTTAGAGGAAAACCTGAAAAATAAAACCCTCTGAAAACTTCCTTTTTTGGAAGGCAGATAATCAGACACAGCAGCCAAGCCTGTTTCTGAAGTCCCCTGCTTGCCCAATCAGACAGGGGGCTGGGAAGAGCAGAGCACTCATCAAATTACAGAGAGGCTCCTTCTGTCATCTTAAACCCTTGTTATCAAGTGACAGATGATGCACTGAAACACTCTACAAACTGCTCTATTTTCTGGTTTATTTAATACATTAGTGTGCAAGCCGGAGCTATACAGAAGGGGACGGGGAAGAAAAACCTTTACAGCATCTTTCAGGAAAAATGTGCCTCATGGAGGTTCACTGCTGAAGCTCTCTAAGGAGAGGGCTCCCACCGCGAGCAGGGCTGGCTGGGTGCCCGGGGCTCTGTCCGGGGAGCTCGGCTGTTTGCCATGCTGATGAAGACCTCGTCACTGCCTTGCTGAAAGCTGTGTCGCTCAGAGGACTTTGCATGCCACCATGCCAGCCCAGCAGAAGAAAGTTATCTTTTGCATAGCTGGGGTGCTGAGCTTTGCTTGTGCGCTGGGGACCGCGGCAGCCGTCGGCACGCAGCTGTGGGTTAAGGGGACGATACTCTGCAAGACAGGAGCCCTGCTCGTCAACGCCACCGGCCAGGAGCTGGAGAAGTTCATTGGCGAAATCCAGTATGGGCTTTTCTATGGCGAGCGTGTGAGACAGTGCGGGCTCGGGGGGAGACCTTTCCAGTTTTCATGTGAGTAACAAATGGCATTTGAATTATTTAACACTGCACTGCTGATGGCTAGGGGAGCCAGGAGATAGCTGCCCCAGCGTCCCCTTGCTCATACACAGAGCCCAACAAGCATGAAATATTCTAAAGGAAATGCTACCGTTAGCGTTCTGATCTTCAGGTTCAAATAACTTATTTTCTGATACTAGTAAAGGCACGGTAATATTTTCAACAATCTGTATTTCAGTTACACAGATATCTACATTTCAAAAGATTTATACTATTACTTTAGAAAAAGAATATTTTTGGTTTTCAATTAATCTCTATCATCTTCCTCTGTGTGTGTGTGTGTCAACGTTACGTCCTCTGTGCCATCATGAAAGAATGAACTAAACTAGCAGAAATCTCATGAAAGAGCTGGGGCATAGATACGTTTGGCTGATGAGAAACAAAGCAGCCAAAAAGTTAGCCATCTGCTGCATTAACTGGAAGAACGGCTGGTTGATGCTAGCTGACGTTCAGTCAGTTGATCTGCAAGTTGAACTTGGTATCTGACATACAGAATTTTATCAAAAGACTGTTAGCAATGGTTTTGCTTTGCGTGTAATATTCATAACCTCTTTATCTTCAAGGCTAAGATCGATAAAATGATCAAGTGAACACACAGTTTGTATATAGCAGCACATTAAACAGCTAATAACAAACAGCCATTTGTTATGTGCACAATGTGCCACCTGAAGTTATTACAAAACACAGTTTAGGAACATTCTGCTAAAACAGCACTGGTAAATTGCTTACATGAGTCATTTAAGGCAAGGTAAGGTTACCAGATTAGGCATCAGAAATTATTTACTATATAATATTTTTCCAAAGTAGTAGACCAAATTAATTTAATATAATATTAAGATTTGCCATCTCTAATTGAATTCCATCACTAGTCTATTTATATAGCTGAAGTTCTCCTCTTGATTTCTTTGTTTGCCATCACAGCATGCAGGTATTCCACCCTGCCAAATATAGGCTGAGGTGAATTTTCAGAGGGGTCTACTAAATTCCAATGGATTAGTTTTCTGCTGCAGGTGAAATTTTTATGAACCACAGCTGACAAAGCCACTAGCAATCAGCTCTGTGACTGACATTTGTCCAAGTTCATTATACTGACAGAGCTGCGAGGCAGAGCTAAACTGCTGTAAAATGAGGACAAGATGCAGCTGCAGCCCGAGGCCATCCCCAACGGGCAGCCTCACGCGGGCCCTGGCCGGGTGTGCACCCCAATTCCTGCACCTCCCAGCTGCAGGATGGAGCCCAGCTGAGCAGCCCCAGGGCTCACACCAGCTGCCCAGAGGGACTCCTCGGGCAGTGAGAGCAGCAGAATAAATCAGTGGCCAATTTGGTGTGAATGAAGTTATGGAAAGGTTGCCCACAGCAACCTCGGCATGCAGCAAGAAGCAGGGCATCCCTCTCTAGTCCCTATCAGCTCAGTGCATGAGGCAGGACTAAACCCAGCCACAACAGACAGCAGCCATGCCAGGGAAGCCACAGCCGAGATAGCCCGTTGGCTTCGCTTTCTAATCATTTTCTTTCCACATATTTGTTACTTAGATACTTTTAAACCATTTCATTGATGTGCCTTGCATTCAGGCTCCCATCTGTACATTTCATCTTGTTATGGCTGAAATATTTTAACATACTGCTAGGGTCATTTAGCAATAGTTTGAAAAAAATTTTAATTTTGTGGGCGGTGTGAATTAATATTACAGGTACAAGAGAGAATACAAATGCGCAGCTAGTTTGTGATGATTTAATAATATGAATCATCACGTATTTTTAAATATCTCACAATGCTACATACAGGTAAGCTCTGGATCTGTGCAAGTACTGCAGAGCATTTTCAACCAAAAGTATTCCGGGGTTACAGAGTTTGCTCTTACTATAGCCATATGCTTTCTATCCATGCTCACAGAAATCTCATGTAACCAAGCTTTCCTATCCAAATGTTTACCAAACTTGCATTCGTAAGTATAATTTCAACAGAGCACAAACAAACGTAACCAAAGAACAGAAATAATACAATGTGGAGTTTTTAATTAGTCACAGCTAGGCAACCCACTTTGGAATGGTAAAAAAAACCACAAAACCTGAGTGTTCCTACAGAGCTGCAGAATCCTACTGCAGAGGGCAATATTAAAAATTAATTTATTTAATATGACTGCCTAACGTACATACACAAAGAACTCCAAGGCTTCCAGGAATTGCATAAAGAAAACATTGAAAAAGTAGTTCACTCAACATCAGTAAATATCACTGTTCTCATTTTCAGACAGAGAAAATGAGGTTTGAAGCATGCACTTTAATGCCAGTTCCCAGGATCTGAAATCAAGGCTGAATTTAATCTTATGCCTGAGACTCCTCAAGTCAGAAGTTCAGAAGTGAAGCTGCTGACATGCCCGTGATGGAGCAGCATCCTTCTCTAGAGAGAGCAGCCTTGTTTCCAGCATCCCAGCCTGTCGGGCATCAGTCACAGCAGATCATCACCTGCAGTAGCAGAGCTAGCAGGGCTGAAGCACTGGGGTCAGAAACACAACCTGCGAGCCTTGACTGACCTAAAACTGAACCCAAGCTTACTTATTAGAGCATTCTTTTACTGTTTGTTCTCCTTCCATACAAGCCAAGCATTAACAGCAAAACATTTCAATAGGTCTCACTCACAATATTACAAGCCTGTCTTGTCGGTCTTATTTGCCTGCACTGGCATCCTTTATGTAGCACTCTGAAAAAGCAACGCTACAAGATGATCTTTGGCACCGTGTATACCTGAAATATAGCCCAGTTACAGCCTAAATAATTTCACAAGCCCAGTTGTGCCGATCATGGCACTCCGGAGGGCAGGCTTTGCCTCCCTGAGCTTTCGCTGACAGCTAGGAGTGGAAGCATTGCTGTCCTCCTCACAAATTGTTCTCAGGTCATCTTTTATTTGGATTAAAAAGCAAACACAACATTTACTTTAAGAGGATTTATGTTTAGAAACAACGGTTGGGTGGCTTAGCAAAATATGCCTCTACTAGAAGCATTCACTTCAGAGACCACTTAACGAAGGAGGCTGCTTCACGTTCTCTGGGGCTGCAGCAGACCCATCCCATCCGAGTTAGCGCTCCCAGGAACTCACCGGGAATGTCCCGGAAAGCAGGATAACCGTATACAGTATGCACATCCATACTTTAATGCGCTGAAGTGCACTTTAGCTTGTCTGAGAAAAGGCACGGAAAACAGGCTAAATGATTTAGTTCTATGCTTGTTCCCATTAAATGCTCCCTTCTGACCACTATATCTCTTTTAATTGTAAAATGAATTTGCTCTGCCAGCAAACACAGTTTGGCTGGGGAAAGCCTTCTGCTTCATTTGCTCTTGCTGATTCTCATCAGTTTCTGGGTCAGCAGTTCATTTTCTAAAGGTCACTGGCATGCATACCTAACACAATTTCATTCATTACAATGAAGGAATGTTTTTCTTTCAAGACAACATAGCTGCTGAAATTAATTTTTCCTGATATGTTGCATATAAAATTTTAATGACAAACAACTGTAAATGCAGGTACCAAGGGAAAGATTCAATACAATGCAGTAATGTGTTTTCTTAAAATAAACAATACAAAATTGTATTATTAAATACACAGTTTTGCATGTTCTCCTAAAACATCAGGTAGTGTTGCAAGAACTAATGCTATTCCTTGTAGAAATTCTGCGCAGGTAGGGACTCTTCAGCCTTTTTGTTGGCTAGCCTGAATGGTACAACCATAAAATTGCACTCTTAGTGTGGTATAAGGTACAACTGCTTCTTATGCTTTTAAATATATGAAATATGTAATATAAAGTCCAATAAACACAAGGTCTAGTTTCAAAAACATGCTTTGTGTTTTACTAGGATGATATAAGGACTCTAAGCACCAGTGCCCAAACTGGACAATAAGTAGCCATCAGCAGAAGTAACATTTATGTAGGCAAATTCTTCCTTTAGGTAAACAGGTAAATTTAGCAAACAGGTAGTTTTGCTGCGTGTGGCACTTGCACATGCAGAGACAGCAAGCGGTTGCGTTCCTGGCCTAGACCTGGCAGCCAGGAGCCAGGCTGGCAGGGATGCCCCAGGGAAGGGGGTCCGGTGGAGCAGAGCCCTGGGACAGTGCCACCCCCAGGAGCAGGAGGCTCCTCCGTTACTCAAGGAAGGCGTGAGCACTCGTGCAGCATCGCAGATGGTGGGCACAGGGCTCTGCGTGCCCCCGTCCTGTTGAGGGTCCCTGGGCCACGGTCCCCCATGGGCGCCGCGTGCCCCTCTCTGCTCCCAGCCAGCCATCAACGACACAAAAGGTAGTATTTATTTAACACAGCTTCAAGAATAGTTTGCAAACATTTGCTTCATTAATTTCCCTTTCATTTAGTCAGGGAGATAAATTGACTTGACACTACATTACCTGCTTCTCTGTGTTTACTGCATGGCAAGCTGCAGAACAGTTTGCTGGTAAACATTTTACAAGGTAGAGTAATTTATGTGAGGCTTTTTTACTCTCTGCACATTACAGCTGCAGCGAGGCAGCGCCGAAGCGTTATTACCCCCACTTTAACTGCTCCTGATCCACAGGGGCACGATTAAGTGTATTTGATGATTCCTTCTAAAATACCCATTGTTGCCAAACAAACATGAATGATTAAAAATTATTCTCATATAAGTCTGATTGACTATCCCCTTGTGCCTAGCTAAGCAGGATCAAAATTTGAAATCATAGCTAAAAAACTGCATAAAAATATTTAAAATAAAGTATTTCCTAAATTTTTGCCTACACAGTCACACCAGCCGTTACATGGCTGGAACTCAGCACAGCCTTCGGTCCATGAGGCAGCAACAATTAACTCCAAGTGCAAAACTGCACACGCCATTTGGGTACCACTTCCCACTGTTGCAGTCCCGACCTGCTCCGTGGGCTCTCAGGAGGCAGCAACTGGGGTAAATGACAGTGGCAAATGCAGCTATACTGAAGTTTTCAGCTTTCGGAAACTTGAAATTATACAGAATATCGTGAATGCACTGCATTAACCGAGTAACACATGCAGTGCTTACACCCACCAAGCAACAGCCTTCTTACTCTCAACTCCATGCAACAAAGCTCTGCTGCAAACAACCGGCGTTTCACCTGCCGGCAGGAGGAGAGCTGGCATGGGGCAGCACCAGGCCTTGCAGCTGCACGCTCATTTTATTTGTTCCCTCTTATTTTAGCTTGGTACCCCATTTTTCTGTTTTAAGATTTTTCCATTTCCTCTCATTGATTTATCATCTTCCCTTTTTGGCCTTGGGCTTCCAGACACAAAATATTCCATTAAGTGTTTTACTTGGGGAAATACAGGGGAAAAAATTTTGATCATAAAATTTGCTTATTCTTTCAAAATTTCATTCAGAGAGTTTGTAACAAACAACTCTTTGATGTAACCTTTATGAATTTCTCCCTCTTTAGTATCATATTTCATTTTTAAAATAGTTTAAGAGATTAATGTATGTACAGAAATATACCCCTTTTCTATTTTTAAGCATTTTTATCAAAATACCAATTTTCTTCTATTTTCTAAAAGTAGAAAAGTGCCAAAGGATAGGAGGTAAGAAACCTCCGATCCTTTTAGGTGTCTGTACATCTCTCTGGCAATAACTGTTGGTGGATTTTCACAGGAGTCTCCATACTGCAAACAACTTCACACATTATCTTCCCCAGATATCCTATGTTCTTGGAGCCTTAAATGCCCCCCAGCAACATGCAGTGCACAACACGTTTAACCTGCCAGTATGTCAGCATAATGATTTCCTGCTGTTTCATAATTAACATGGACCTTTTGACTTACACACTTATTGCTTAAGGTTTTCAGAAAAAAAACCACATATTTTTAGCCAAAATTCTTTGGGTATAAACTTAGCAAAACAGCACAGCATATTTTGTATTAATCAAAGTGGTGGAATCACTGCTCTGAAACAGCAGTAAAATCCCAGCCAGGAGTTGCCTTTGCTTCCCTAGCAGGTAAAGCAGTCAAACCCTGACATTTGTGCGCTTCAGACACATCAGACATAAACAAACAGCACACACTACTCCAAACTAAACGAGCACACACCCCAGGCAAACCAGAGCCTTCCACATCATCTGCCCAGTGATCTCCTCACTTGTCCGTACAGCAGGACTTGAATATTCCTGAGGACTTTGTCCATCACACATTGCCCGTGACCCAGTCCAAACCACGAGGCTGGTGCAAGGGAGAGGGACCCCTGAAGGACCCCTGCACCCACAGGGGCTGCCCAGCCTCCCCCCTGCCCCAGCACCCACCCTGGGAGGGGGACCCAGAAGAAGCATCCCTCGGGACGGGGAGCTACCTCATCCTGTCCCGGGTACCACAAGACACACAACACACATGGTATGGATACTGACACAGAGTCAGGAACTTCTCATCCTCACCTGACCCTCCCTACACCTCTGTTTTGGAAAATAAAATAAATACAAGACTCTACTGACCAGAACAATCCAGTCTGAGAAACATGTTTCATATGAGTTGCTGACCACTCCAGGCAGGGTCAGGTGTAAGAGTGACACACATTGATTGTAACCAAGCCCAGAAGCTGACAAAATCCAGGCAAGCAAACAAATATCAATTACCCTCCATTCAATGAATGAGCCAAGCAAGCATAATTTCATTTCCAATCTTGTGTCCCTCAGTGAGACCTCATAAGCATAAAGGCAGAGTCTGTTTCTGGATTTGCTGTCCCCCCACCTCCAAAAGAGATGAGTAGATGGCCAGGCCTCCAGCTGAAGGACATGAGATCAGACCCCTCACACAAATGCTGTGGGTAGCCCTGCACACTACTGTGCAGACCAGTGCAAGGTAGACCTGCTTCCTCAAATACAGCTTCTGATTTTTTTTTTTCCTAAGAATATGCTGTGCTGTTCACATTAAGGATCAAAAACCACCCTGGCAGACAATAGGCATGCTACCCTCCAACTTGCTTCTGCATGATCTGGCTTCTGAGGCATGAATAACCCCCAAAACCTCGCACTGCCATTAATAGTGCCTACAGGTGGAGAGGAGTTTGTTCTGCCTGCCAACACACTTGGCTGAGGGAGCAGGCACTGAGGATGCTGATGCACACAGGACCCCAGGGCTTAAAGAACTGGAGGCACTGGGGGTCACACCCTGGAGAGTCCAGCGCAGATGCCAGGCGGGGATGGCCGTGGGCAGGGTACCAGGACCACGGAGGTGCCATTCTGCATCCCGCACAGGGTACGGCCAGGGCAGGGGGAATAACACACGTAGGGAAACACACTCAGGAAGGGGAGGAGAGGCTTTCCCTGGAGCTGGTCCTTCTCTCCTCACCAGTCTACACTTCATAGAATACCAGGTTGGAAGGGACCTTGAGGATCATCTGCTCCAACCTTTCCAGCACAGTCTAGACGAGATGGCCCAGCACCATGTCCGGCTGAGTCTTAAACGTGTCCAGCGTAGCAGAGTCAACCACTTCCCTGGGGAGATTATTCCAATGATTGACTGTTCTCATTGTGAACAATTTACCTCTCGTGTCCAATTGGAATCTCCCTGGGAATAACTTGTACCTGTTACCCCTTGTCCTTACCGTGTGACTCCTTGTAAAAAGGGAGCCTCCATCTTCTTTGTAGCTCCCCTTTAAGTACTGGTACATGGTGATGAGATCACCTCTAAGCTTCCTTTTCTCAAGGCTGAACAAACCCAGCTCTCTCAGCCTATCCTCATATGGCAGGCTTCCCAGACCCTTGATCATCTTGGCAGCCCTTCTCTGGACCCCCTCCAGCCTATCCACATCTTTTTTTGTATAACAGGGACCAGAACTGTACACAGTATTCCAGGTGTGGCCTGACAAGCGCTGAGTAGAGAGGGATAATGACTTCTTTATCTCTGCTGGTGATGCCCTTTTTGATGCAACCCAGCATCCTATTGGCCTTCTTGGCCGCAGCAGCACACCGTTCACTCATGTTGAGCTTCCTGTCCACCAGGATCCCCACGTCCCTTTCCACAGAGCTGCTCTCCAGCCAGGTGGATCCCAGTCTGAGCTGCACTCCTGGATTATGTTTTCCCAGGTGCAAGACCTTACACTTGTCTTTGTTAAACTTCATAAGGTTCTTGTTAGCCCACTCTTCCAGCCTATCCAGATCTTCCTGCAGGGTGGCTCTCCCTTCCAGAGTGTCTACCTCCCCACTCAATTTGGTGTCATCTGCAAAATTCATCAGGCTACACTTGATCCCATTATCCAGATCACTTGTGAAGATACTGAATAGCATTGGGCCCAATATTGATCCTGGGGGACCCCACTTGTGACAGGTTGCCAGTTTGAAAAAGAGCCATTTACCACCACCCTTTGGGTGCAGCCCATCAGCCAATTCCTCACCCACTGCACAGACCACTTGTCCAGGCCATAATGCATCAGTTTCTCCAGAAGGAGGCCGTGGGGAACTGTATCAAAGGCCTTGGAGAAGTCCAAGTAGACAATGTCAGCCACTCACCCCATGTCAACCGAGCAGGTCACTTTATCATAGAAGGCCACCAGATTTGTCAGGCACGAAGTGCCTTTTGTGAAGCCGTGTTGGCTTTTCCCAATCACATGCTTCATTTGACTCACGGTGGCCCCCAGGAGGATCCATTACATGACTTTCCCAGCAATTGAAGACTGATGGGCCTATAATTACCCACATCCTCCCTTGAGCCCTTCTTGTAGATAGGGGTAACAACTTCCAAGTGTCACAAAATGCTTTTGCCTCCAATCATCCATGAAAACCTGTTTCTAGTTAATAACTTCATTTTCATTTTTAGTTTCATTCAGAACAGCACAATTTAAAACAATTATCACAAACCAGCAAGAAATCCGTGGCCTGACTTCTAAAACAACTTTGCCTAATGTGTATAATAATGTTTTGTTCATTTTGTTTTTAGTTTTTCCAGATTTGCTCAAAATTATCCCTGCAAGTATCCATGTTAGTGTCATTCTCTTCTGTACAGTACTGATCATCTTTGCTCTGGTGGGAGCAGGTTTCTTCATGTTCAATGCTTTTGGCAGCCCTTACGAAACTCTGCATGGCCCCGTCGGGTTGTACCTCTGGAGCTTCATCGCATGTAAGTACCACTCCACCCTTGGCCTGTCAGGCTAATGCCTGTCCATGTTTGCTACTTATGACTGATTTATCGGCATAGGAGACTGTATCAGGGACTGTGGCACGTTGACTCTAAACTGGCAAAACAAAGCTAGGCAGAAAGGCAGATGACTTTGCTGTATTAAAACATGGGGTTTCCAAATTGGAGGTAAGAGATAAAATGTCAAAATCCTCCATGAGGGTGGGATGGGTACAGGTGCAGGCAGCCCCAGCACTCTTGGCCCTTCTCCGTAAGCTGGCAGAAAAAAGGGGATGGTGCCCACAAACCCCAGGGACCCAGAGCTGGGGTTACATCACAGATGCACAGCACACAGTCAGAACCAGGAATCACACCAGAGGGGAGAATAGTCAGGGGAGAACCAAAGCAAAAAAAGTCAGTGATGCAACTGCTTGTATTGACCAAGATGGGAGGTTTCCAGCTGTGCAAGCAAGATCACCACTTACACCAGCAAGACTTTCTCAAGGAAGGAAGGAATCGAGAAGCAGAGAGGGAAAAACTGACAGCAACTTGCTATAAAAGTGGTCCCTGAAAAAAATACTGCCAACAGGGATAAGGGACCATCCCTGACTCTCTGCTACTTACAGAGAAGGTAAAGCCCATTCTCTGTGTCGCCGGCTTGGCTGACAAGATGTACCATTATTGTACAAGGTATTACGTATTACAATCATACTTTAATAAAGAACTTAAGTAGATGTTCACATACATATACATTAAGCAGACAGTTCAGTTATGTTCAATGGGACAATGAGCAGCTTAAAGCTGAAAAAGAGTGCAGATACTTTGCTGGATCAGGGCACTAAAGCAGCTGTGCTAAATATTATGGGTCCTAAGCCAAATTCAATTTAAAAAGCTTACCAATTTCAATAGCTGTTGGCTTGGATTCTAAAAATAATCCCTGTAAAAGCTAAGTTACAGTGACCATAACACTATCAATATGGCATTTGGGTGTGGTGTAGTACATCAGATGGCCTTGCTGCAGGGATTGCTGAGATGATGAGCATTTCTCCCTCTGTTTCAGGTTCCTGTGGTTGCCTCATCATGATTCTCTTCTCTTCAGAAGTGAAAATCCGACCATAATAACACTATCAATATGGCATTTGGGTGTGATGTACATCAGATGGCCTTGCTGCAGGGATTGCTGAGATGATGAGCATTTCTCCCTCTGTTTCAGGTTCCTGTGGTTGCCTCATCATGATTCTCTTCTCTTCAGAAGTGAAAATCCATCACCTTTCAGAGAAAATTGCTAATTTCAAAGAGGGAAGTTTTACATTCAAGACTCACAGTGAACAGTTTGCAAAATCATTCTGGATCATCCTGGTTTGCTCCCTGGTGCACTTTCTGAACGCCGTGTTGATAAGATTCGCTGGATTTGAATTTCCCTTTTCAAAATCAAAAGATTCAGGGACAACCACTGGAGCAGCTGACCTGATGTATTAGAATTACATCATTTAAGAACATTTAGAGCAAAGGGGTTCATCACTACTGCATCCAACAACCACCAGATGTACTAACTTGTAAATGATTAGCTCTAAAGAAATTAAAAAGTTGAAGTTTCAAATAAATGTCAATATGGCATATGCAGTAAACAAAAGACATGCTATTTGGTAACGTCTAGATCAAAATACCCTCTCTTTCTTGGAGTAAGACCTTATGAAGACATTTGCTTTTTTTTCCCTGTAAGTTATTTGAAAAGTAGCTGGTATGAAGAAAACTAGAAAAATCAATAGCATTAAACTGCATCTGGAAAGTAAAGTAAACAGGTTGCAATAGAGGCACACAGTATCACCAGCAGCAGTTTTACCCTTTAGCCCTTGTGAAGGCGGGGATGCAGTTATTATCATGTCAGGGCAGCAGAGAACAAGGACACCCAGCAAATCTACAAGCATCAAACGAGAAGAGAAAACCTATGGGCTTTGCTCATAACACACATCAGGCCCTGCCTCAAAAGCACAGTGCTGAGAAGGAACACAACACTATAGCGAGTGCCTGCGGGACAAAACCCAAACACCTGAACTCACCACTAACACTTAGACTAGCATCACATGCATGGCAACATCATTGTTTCTGTCCATAAAACTCTTTTGGGTTTTTTAGTTTTAACAAACCAAACTGTAACTCTTGGACCGTGAAATCCCAAAAGCCCTCATTTCCCTGTGCGATCACTATAGCTAGGGGCTTCATGATCTTGGTTAAAAAGACACACGTGGCAAATCAGGGTGTAGAGGAGATGCCAAACACTCTCTCCTGCTTGCCCGAGGTAGGCAGCCTGGCTTGGTGCTGCTGAACAGCAGCACCCCTTAGCAACACACCAAGGCAAAGAGCATTTCCCAGAGCAAAGCAACAGGAATGCAAACCAGGCACCTTTCACATTGCACTGCATCTGCCCAAAGCCTCACGGTCAGAAGCATGAAGAACCCTGCCCAGAAAATAGCCCTGCAAACTCTCTCTCATCAAATAATACAAATAAATAAAACCAAAACCTTTAGTAAAGGGCAGCAATGGAATAACACAATAGACAGGCTTACAAGGCATGCTGCAGCTCAGCAGAGACTGATGAAGAAACACGCGAGGTTTACCTCAAGGCACGCAGGAAGCCAGAACGGACAAACACATCAGCCCTTGCACCCTTAAACTTCTGCAAGTCAGTTAAAGCACCCAGGTACAGCTATACCAGCCCAGTTACATACAGATAGATCAAAAGAACACTATACCACAAAACACTACCTCTGTGGGTGCCTTGGAGATGAGGTGCTCCTTGCAGGACATGGAGACAACACCCAGAGCAAACACAAGAGGAGATGCATGGGAGAACAGTCACTGCACCAGAGGCCCATTTATCTGCAGGGCTGCAGCCTGCTTCCGCGCAGCTGCAGGTGAGGAACAATCCCATCCAGCATCCATCGAGTCACCTGTGGTGGAAACCAGGCCCAGGTGCCTGTTAGGACACACCTCTGAAAACTATATGCTTCAAACTCCAGCAACTTGCAGGATGACCTCTCTGACATTCATGCCAGTTTTTATACTTCTACTACAAATGGCAAAACATTGCTGGGTTTTTTTGTAAAAGGTTTGTCAGCTATACCCCAACTCCACAAACCCTTTCACAAAGCAGCTCTGCCTCCCCGTGCTGTACCATATATTCCTGGATTGTAACAATATGTAAGGGCTACTGCAAGTTGCCACGACCCTCATTTTTTTCCCATCATTTTATTCTTAATTAATCTGCACATTCTTCTTAATGTTAGTATATCTTCTTAATGCCTAATTTGTATTACATCTAATGATATTGTTTACTATACAGCAAACAATGAGAAGTAATGTTTCATCCTTCTTGTTCCTGATGTTTCATGAAGCTGCTCTGCTTTGCAGCTGTGGAGCAGCTTTGGCAATCGGCAGCGTACAGGATCGGATGTACAGACCACTCACGTGCCTGTGTCTTTCTCAGAGTGGTCCTTGCCAGCCCTGAAGAAGGAGCTGGCCCGTATGTGTAAAATACAGAGTTGTACAGACCTGTCTCAGCACAGAAGACAAACCCATTCCCGTCCCTTTTGCTGTGCAGGAGAGAGCAGCCCTTGACTCAGGGTCCAGGGATTTTCACGGGGGGGTCACCTCACAAGAGCCCAGCTCCACTGCTCCCCCTGCATCCTATCCCATCGCATCCCATCCCATCCCACTCACAAGCAGGAGGCCGGCTGTTTTGTTCATTTGTATCCAGTTCTCAAGGCAAACATAGCAACTTCTTAGCAAAATAAAATTGAGAAAATATTTGTGTTTGACCAGCTGAAAGTAACAGACTAAGCAAGACCTGCTCAGTCTGCGCTCCTGGGTGAGCACCAGCACCTACTCTGTGCCTCACTTGTAATCCATGAGCATCAGCTAAAGAAGTTTTGCCCTGTTTCCTTTCTAGACTACCATATTTCATGACTTGAAGAACAACAAAAATTGTACAGTGATGAGAAATACATAAATATATTTTGAAGGTTCTTGAAAAATCAGGGTTTTTTTCTGTCCCAGTAAAAAGTTAGTATCCATGTGTGTCTGTATGTGTGTGTGCGTGCAGTGTGCATACATATAAATAAAAATGTATATAAGTATATATATATATATATATACAAGGGTGTGTACCAGGCTTAGACTACTGGCCCACAGTGCTGATGTAGGGGTGAACGGAGGAGCGTGGTGTTGCAGATGTGGAGCTCACGGTGCTCTCTGGACCCGTATTCCACCCCACTGCTGTGACTGCCCTGAGCAAGGATCCTGGAGGTTGCACTGCTGGCTCTCGTAGTGGACCCTTCTAAAGCATATCCACCTCAACGGGTTTTGTTGTCCAGGTTACTACCCCAAGCAGAGATCATTTATCATTTGGAAACAGCATGAACAGCAGACTTAGTCACCTCCCTGCAACAGCAGGAGCGATACACCCATACTGAAATCTGCAGACATAGTTCCATAAAGTGCAGCCAAGAAAAGACACACCTCAGCAAGACCCTGCGGTATGGAGCAGTTCAGGCATTAGTGCAGCAGGAGCCATGCTAATGACAAGCCCTACAGCCTGGGCCCGGGGAGCGGTGGGCCGAGGGACGCCTGCCCTGCTGCCTGACATGGGAGGGATGCTCAGCGCCAGCTGCAGCTGCAGAAATGCCAGCGCTGCTGCCCCAGCGAGGAACCTTTCCTCTCTGAGTTATCGCAGTGCTGAGATTGTGCTAGGGAAGAAGTTAATTAAGCTTCACAGCTTCCTCTCTGACATCTCAAAGCATTTACCTACACCATGGAGAAGTTAGGAGAGGTCTCTGCCAAAGCGCTCTTGATGCAAACGGGGGTTTCTCCCCTTGGGCCAATATTCAATTGTCTCAAAAGGCTTTGACATCTGGAGATGGAAGCTGCTGTGGAAACACAAAGTTTCATTAACTTCTTAACTACATTTTTTTTGCCGGCAGCCATCATTGCCGTCAGAGGCCGGGAGGTGCGCGTCTGTGTCCCCTCGGGTGTGGTAGTGGCACACGGACAGGGGTGTTGCTCAACCACCATCACCCCAAGGTCGGACTTCATCCCCTCCCCAGGGGGGGCACTGGGCAGGCATGCAAATGGCCCAGCTTGGATGGAGGCAGGAAAAGGGGCGGGGGGAACCAGCCCCTTGGCAGGGACAGGACAGGGTGGTGTGGATGCTGCATGCAGCTGAGGTATGGGGCGTCCTACGCCAGGCCCTCCCTCCAGTTTTCCAGACCAACTGCCAAACCAGGTGGGGGGTTTCTGCCTTCCCACCCTGCAGCCAGGTCCTGGGCTGATTGCTGTCCTGCTGCCCAAATTTGTCATCACCACCGGCACCAAGAGAATGTGTGGGCTTAATGGGACAAACCACATTTCAGTCCAGCATTCTGCGGGAAGACACAAAGTCAAGGACATTAATGACAGGATGATGGAAAACACAAGAGCAAGGTATGGGACACTGTTCCCCATCACAACTGCTCTGATGTTTCACCTGATGTCCCCAAAAGGGCACAGCTCGCTGGGAAGCGGTCTGCATGGCAGGGGAGAGGCGAGTAATGACACTTGCACTCATTCCTCAGGACCTCACTGCCTCCAAACAGTATCAGCTCTCAGCCACGGCTAACGCTGCTCCTTGCTTGGTTGTGCTCAAACACTCATTGAAAACCCCTTTCCATGCTGTCCACCTCATGATGGAGAGGGAAGACACTGTGGCACCTCCAAACACCTGCCCACCCCACACTTACCATTTCAGATCACTTGTCTCTTGTGGTCACAGAGAGGTGGGCACCATGGGATGAGAGCAGGAGGGATCCAAGGACTGCTGGCTCTCATAATGCCAGCAGTTACATGGGTTTCATTCCTTGGTGGAGACCGTGTTAAAAACATCAAGCACAAAGGGAAATAAAGGGGCCAGTGAAGAACATTACAGCAAGATATGTGCTGTTGCAGTACTATCAAATAAACAGAAACAATTCCACGTTCTTGGCAGGAAAGCATGGTACTGTTGTCCCATTTATTTTGATGCATCTTCACTGATCGCTGGCAGTGAGGACCATCTCACATCTCAGCCCTGGCTCCCCAGCGCTGCCCAGATGAAGCAGGGAGTTAAGGGTTGATGTTATCTGTCTGCACTATCCAGTTGCTGAACCTGGTCTCTTCCAAAATGAAGCCCCCTCAAGGAGGTGCAGGCAGAGCCCACGGCCCCTGACCCTGAATGCCCCGTGTACGAGCAGGAGACCTGCACGAGGGAGGGTGCTGGGCCAGATCACTCCATGGCACTAGAGGCGTTAAAGCAGACGTGGTGCCTTCAAGGTGCCAAAGTCCCCAGTGCTTCGACACTGAGAGAGGATTCCCTGGGGCATGTCCTCACCCAAAGCTCTTCTGTGTCCCTGGTGCGACACAAGCCTTGCCGGAGGGAGCTGGTGCCTGGTCCTAGCGATGGCCAGCTCTGCAGACCCCGGTTCATCCTCCTCTGCCATAAAATACCCAAATCTTATGAAGTCTCCAAATCTGGAAAGGCAGCTTGTCCCACACCTTGATTTCTAACCAACCCCTGGGAAGAGGCAGGTTTGCATCAGCCTGCTCCATCCCAGTTTACTTAAAAACGTGGAGCAGATTTGATCTATTTTCTTTACAAATCCATAGGCAAATCTATTCTCCTTATGTCAAGAACCTGAAGAAATGACAAGAGCTAATAATGAATCAACTCATGAGGTAAGTCAGTGTTTATCAGAGAGGGAAGGACTGACTGATTTTCCAGGCCAAACTCCTTTTGTGCCAGCATGCGTCCTTGGGAGGCAATTAAATTAGGCAGGGATGCAGTCGGTAGAATATGCTTTGCCATTACAGCCCAGCTCCTAAGAGGCATCTTTCTTTCTAGCCAAATTCAGGTCTTAGGGCTCAAGAACACAACTCCCGTTGACTGCAATGGGAATTGTCCTCTGCTCCCCACATCCAGGAACACGCAAGGGAGAAGAGAAGGTTGGCTCTGTCTCTGATTAGCCCCATTTACAAGCACTCTGGCAGCCACGACGGTTGGTAGGTGCTGCCGCAAAGCCTCCCCCGCGCACGGAGGAGTTTCTGTGCGAGAGCTCTCACCCCACGAGCACAAGGTGGTGCTCACCCCAGCACCCTCAGCACGGCGCTCCCACCCACCTCTTCCCCAGCCTTCCTCCCAAGCAGAAGTGCATGGCTTAGATTCAATCTGTTGGGAACCTGGTGGATAGTCTACCCTTTCTATAAGGAAGAGCTACTCCAGTACAGACAAAGGGGACAAGGGATTTTACGACAGTTTTTAGGAAGCCGAAAGACTGGAGCCTGTGTAGCACCAAAAAAGAGAGCAGGTTTTTTCACCCCGTAAAGCCACAGCTCCTTCAGCTGGAAGAAAAGACAGGGCATTTGATGTCTTGCATGCAGGCTGGCCCAGATTATTTCAGTTTTCATAAACCAAGACTTGAGCCAAGCTGTTCCAAACAACCCTGCAGAGAATGCAGAGCTGTCAGAGCCGGACCGTACGGCTGCCCCAGACAGACCCAGCTCAGACACACCTGGGGAAACCCAGAGTATCTCCCCAGTGCGCCATGGGAAGCCAGGCTCAGCTCATTAACATCAGCTCAACCTCACATTTTTTTCCACCGAAACTCAGACAGATACCCCCAGTATGTGCGTTCTCACAGACTGAAAGAGGAGAAAACAAACCGTGAGATTTCCATGACCCCAGCAGCACGAAACCAGTGGGTTTCCCCCCGCTCAGCTATGCGGTCCCTGACCCGTGCCCCGGAATGCCAGCCATGCTACAGCAACTGCCAGAAGTCACGGGAACATCACTCTGCATGGATCTCGCCTTTTCCCAGCTTGTCTCCCCAGTGAACTTGCTCAACTTTACAGACATCTGCTAAGTCTGGATTTTTTTTCCTTGAGCTATGCACTTCCCACCCAGCCCTCGCAACCCAGACCCGGTCCCGCTTGTTGTCAGCTCACAGGGAGGGAGCTGCAGCCCTGCGGCTGGAAAAAATCCCCTGCTCCTGCACCGGACCTTGCCTGGAGCCAGCCCTTACAGAGCAGGCACATAGCTGGAGTCAGCTTTATATAGCTCTGTGGCTGGCATTAAACATTCATGCTGCTTATACAGTGAACAGAAAAACACAGGCTATGACGGGCTTTCATGGAAGTTTAATCACGGTGTGCCAGTGGGAGCTGACAGGGAGCCCTGGGGGGTGACAGGCAGAGGGGATTCGGGTGCCTCGCAGAGAGTCAGGTCTGGAGGGAGCCGCTCCTCGAGCAGTCCCAGTGCCCGCATCCCTCAGCATCGTCCGGAGATGGGTGACCGGGAGACTGAGCACACCGTGCCACAGACACAGCTAGAGGAGATCACCAGCAAAATTTCGGATCTAAACAAATGGAGGGAAATCTTTAGTTTCCATGGGTAAGATTTTTATTCTGCTTCATTGTCATGTTTTTAATTCCAGGTGCTTTTTTAATATCATTTTTTAAGTTATGTTTTATAACAATACTTATGTGACCATGGAAAAAGGTCTTCATGTACTCAGTAACACAACTACTACAGCTTTTACTTTTCTTCTCTTTTGAAGTTCTTTTCTGGCTGTTCCTTCATGTTAGCAATGCCTCTGTTTTTAATTCGTGTTTTATTTTCCCTTTTCAGTTTGGAAATCAGCAAAGCTCATCAGGTAACTGTTTCTCTAAAGGTAACATTTTGTATTTTTCTAGTGTTTTTTGTGATTGTTCAACCAGGCTATCATATTGAGCAAATTATGCATCTATAGATGCAGCACAGCAGACAATCTTTATGGAGATTTATTTCTTATGCTCCTCCTGTAAGAAACACGCATTTTCTTCAGATATTTTAAAGGAATGTCTTCCTGATCTAAATCCAAGTGGCAGAGTAGTCCAACATAAATTAACCCTTCTGTCTAAAAGTAACAGTTTTCATGGTCAGTTCTAGAACACAGGAAAAAAGGATAACAAGATCTCTAAAATATAAGTATTTGGAAAACCTTGTGTGTCTTTAGGTTGAAAAGCATTGAAGTTTATTCCCTGTAATTCAGACAATCATGATGTTACTTTATATTCCAATCATTAGCTTGTAGGGACGTATTTGTAACGTTTGGAAAAAGCTGGCAGTCAAACATGCCAGTGCTCCCCGACAGCAGGTATCCTGCCTCCCCTGCCCCTCTGTAAGCTCATCGCCGTGCCCACCCCACTGGGAATACTGGGGGGAGGTAACTTTGGCTGCGTGCAGCGGCGGGACGATGTACCGTCTGCTCCTCTCTCTGTCCAGCGAGGCCAGGGCAGCGCTGGCGATGGACCACCTGGAGCTGGAGAGCCCGCGGGGCCACCGCCACCACCTCACCCCCCATCTGCCGTCCCCAAGCCCCTCCTGCTCTCTCCAGACACGGGCGGCCGGCCCATCTCCTTGGAAATGGCAATGGTGAGCAGGCCTGCTGAATTACGCATGAGCTGTAATTTAATCTCGTTAAAAGAAAGAGACTCGGGAACTTTACCTGGTGTTACGGGAGGCTCGGCGTATTTCTGGGCTGCAGGCTACAGCCTGCTGTTAGCTGTAACAGAGGTATATAATCATAATGATTTATTTACGAGACTTTTAAAGAACATGGTTGTAACACAACCTTAAAACTGATATACTATAATTCTCATTAGATAATAAGTCAAATGACAAAGTGTAATGTTTCCCTGCTCTTCAGTGCTTTCCTAGCGAACAGCCTCAGAACAGGAGGCAGAAGTTTAGGAGATCAGTAAGATATTTCTGCTCTCACCCAGACACCTGGTTTTGGGATCGCTAATGACAGGGCCTGCTGCCCTTGCCCGTACGAAGAGCCATCACCAGAAGCTCGGGGGGGTTCTGCAGGTGATGGAAGGCCGGTCTCCAGTGCTGGCCTTACCGCCCATGACCTCCCACACCAAACCAGTCCCCTGTCACCTGAGCACAAACTTAATGAGAAGCTCAAGGGCTTAATACCAGAGGTGAAAGCCTGGCCAGGGCTGTGTTACTGAACACACATCTGGAAAAGGTCCAGTCCTGAAGAGATTTAGATACATAACTGCACTTACTGTCAGCTTCACGTGAATCCATCTTCTCCAGTTCATGACCCACTTGCACAAATCACCCAGATCAGTAGCAAGCAATTTTTAATGGGAAGAGCCATGATGTATGTTCATTTTGCTTTGCTCAGCAAACACATCATTCACCAAAATTAAAATTAATTAGGAAAAACATTCCAGGTGGGCCCAGGCAGCGTCCACAGACTGGGGGTGGTGTGGGGTGAGGCCAGGAGGCAGGTTCACCCCCCCCGGCCACCCGCACCCAGGCAGGTCCCTCACAGCACCCAACGGGGCAGAGGGAGGGGGCAGCCGGGGCCGCCACCCCCCACTGCCCCCCGGTGAACAGCGCCTGCCTGCCCTCGTGGCAACGTGCCTGTGTTAAATGTTACCATAAATGAAACTCACCAATATATTTAGAGATTGCAAGCATATCTATTTTAGGTGGAAGCCACACGTTTTCTTGAACTTTCTCTTTTAATTCAGCTGCCAACCCAAAAGCTGGCTGTGTGTGCCTGGGTGGGTCCTGAACACAGGACACGCTCAGCAATGGCCGTGCCTGCCCTCCGAGGCGGGGGCCACAGATGAACCCTCCTCTGCTTCCCACCAGCACCCCACCGCTCCGGCAACTGCTGCACAAGCTCTTTGGAGAGGGTTCGCATGGGCAAACGTAGATGTTTGTTTAATTCTGTCCCCAGAAGTGCCACTGATGATGGTGAGCACCTTGCCCAGGCCTTCCCCCAAAAGTTGTAGTGTATCCAAATGGAAACTATTTACACACTGCAACTGTACTTCACAGGAGTGGTTGAATGCTGAGTGAAGTAAGTCACTGCATTAACCACAAACATCACCTTTGCTTCGAAATTATGGAGCCTGATTCTCAGTAGACGATTTTACACTGCTCCGGCTGTGAGCACACACGCTGAACCTGTATCCCGAGGCCCTTCTAACACTAAAGATCCTTCACGATGCTGGGATGCGAAGGGAGCTGAACCCAGCCCATCTTTCTCCTCCTCCACAGGGGCTGCGAAAGCTGCTGTTTGGAAACGTGCTCCACGTCTTCAGCTGTGAATGGGCAAAGGCATACTTCAGGTTTCGCGAGCCGTACTCTGACCTGGCCTATGCTTTGGAGGCAGAACAGGTAAATGTTTCAGCGCAGTGATGGGCATCATCTCCCCAGCGTCTCAGCCACTTGCGGGAGCTGGCAGCCAGCACTGGGTGCCTTGGCAGTGCACATGCCTGCACCCCACGGCAGCACCCTGCGCTCTGCACGCCTGCACCCCACACCTGCTCCCCACGCTCTGTAGGCCTGCACCCTATGTTCTGCACATCTGCACCCCACGCCTGCACCCTGTGCTCTGCACGCCTGCACCCCATGCCTGCACCCCATGCTCTGCACACCTGCACCCTGTGCTCTGCACGCCTGCACCCCATGCCTGCACCCTGTGCTCTGCACATCTGCACCCTGCACTCTGCAGACATGCACCCTGTGCTCTGCATGGCTGCACCCTATGCTCTGCATGGCTGCACTCCATGCCTGCTTTCTACACTCTGCAATTGCGCACCCCACACCTGCACCCTGCGCTCTGCACGTCTGCACCCTGCGCTCTGCATGCCTTCACCCTGTGCTCTGCACCCTACGCTCTGCAAGCCTGCACCCTGTGCTCTGCACGCCTGCCTGGCTGAGCTTTCTCCCCAGGGCAGGTTGTGGGGGCTTCCAGCCACAGCCACGCTCCACAGCTGTCCTGGGCAAAGCTCCAGCTGCCCTCGCGGTGGAGATGCTGAAGCATGTCTGGAAGTGGGATGAACTGTCCTGATCCAGCAGCGTGCTGCAGACACAAACTTTAAATACCATGGTATTAAAAGCTTCCAAGGTGAAGACTCAAGAGAGAAGCAGCAGGTTGCTGTAGGTGGGCACAAATAAGTGGTACTTGCCCATTTCTTTTTTGTGAATTTGAGTTACCTTCTTCTTACTGCCCCACCTGGAAATCAAATAGGTGAATTTACCTACATTTTCATTTACTGAAAGAGGGAGGTTTTCTTCTTTCTTATTTACCATCATAATACTGCCCCCCAAAAAGCAGAAGACCAAGATATACACACTTAAAATTACAAACCCCTTTAACCCACCAGGAGACTAAAATGCTTTTTACAAATGCAGGTGAAACTCCCTGAGTTCAGAGGCTCTGTGACTGCAGAGAGGACGACAGCCCTGACATGTGCAGCCAGCACAGCTGGGAGCTGGGCATGGTCACCCTCGTGCATGGCCCCACGTCAGCCCCACGCTGCCTCAAGACCCCGGTCCCTTTGCTGCAAGGCTGGAGGAGACAAAAAATAAGCCATGGTGCTTCTAGGCACACGTGGTACCTGGAGCTCTGAGCCCTTCCCTGCAGCTGCAGCGCTGCAAGGGAGGGATCCCCGTCCGCGACCCCCCCTCCCCATGAGCACACAGCCAGGGCCACCCCAGAGTCTTTTCTTGCGCAAAGGCTTCTTGTTTTTAGGCACATAGATAAGATCTTTTTCAATTTACTTTTCCATTTATCTCAGGAGTTGTCAGCAGCGCTTCTGAATTCCCAGGGAGAAAAGAAAAATTGCCCCCCTGATACTGACAGTGGGACGGCTCACACTGGCCAGGGATTGCTGTGATTGCCAGGAGATCAACATCACACATTCTAGTTCAGGCTCCTTAGCACTGGAAAGTCTTGTCTTTCTGTTCCTAGGGGGGAACAAGAGCCATTCTGATGGCTGTACAAGCGCACATCATTAAATACCTGCTCTTCGAAAGAAACACAGAATATACTCACCTGGAAAGGTAAGCAGCTCAGCCTTCCCACGGGACATACAGAAACTACTTCATTGCATTATTTGGACTAAGACAGACTAGCAGCAGCCCCTAGGTTTAACCAAACTAGACCGAAGTTCAAGTTTGCAGCTACCAGTGGGGATTTGCACCTAGGAGAAAAGCCTTGTCTGACTCCCCAGCAAGGCTTTTTCCCACCAAAACTTTTGTTTTTGTAACGGTGGCGCTTGCTTCCTTGTCCCACTCCCTGGCGCCATGGCCACAGCCTGCGGCAGCACCTGGAGACACCCACGCGGCAGCCCCAGCCAGGATGAAAGCTCCCACCACGGACACATCACTCCCAGCACACGGGAAGCACGTCTGCACCAGCAGCAGCGACAGCACCAAGCAAAAAGTGGAAATTTCAGTGAAGATGGGCGCAGCTCGATGTGCAGCTGCCTTCTGCACAAATCCCCTCGTGTCTTTGCATTCCCGCTTGTTATGGTTGCACCGTCCTCCCAGCCACCGGGTAACTCAGGCAGGGCAGGACCTCTGGGGTCCGAGCCAGCCCTCGGCTGGGAAGGGACCCGTTTCACACTCAGGTTCAGCCTCAGGGTTGGGGGGCTCTCAGCATCCCCGAGGACGGACCCTCAACACAGACCCCCAGGCCCCCGACGCCCCTGTCTCCTGCACTGCAGGCTGTGCAGGATAAGCCGGCTGGAGCAAGGGGAGGCGCTGGCTGTGGCCCTGGCAGACACCCTGTGGGCAGCAGGAGGAGGTGGGAGAGCCGTTATCTGCCTCGTCACCACAGCTGTCCATGTTATGCCAAGCAGAGAACACAGCCCCGACAACTTCAAGGAAAGAGTGAGTACAAAAACACCTTCTGCAAAAAGGATTTTCTTCGAAGACATGTTTAGCCTGAAATTCTGAAAGACAAGAAACATAATATCCCATAAACCGGTTCCATAACTTACGGTGCACCACAAATTGTGAGCACTTTAGACCCATGTCCCAGCTGGAACCTGTAAGACACTTCTGCCTCCTCACAGAGGCCTTATGTGAGTCCAGAGGCTGCCGTTCCCTTTCATTAAAGGCTGATCTTTCTTCTCCCGCAAAAAGCAGAAACCAGTTAACGTAAAGCTGTTCCTCTAACTCTTTATACAGAGCTGAACTCCTCAGTTTAGGAAGGAGCAGCGTAGGCTCTTGCATTATTCTTTCATTTGTCTAAAGGAAATACTGGATTAAAAAGCTTGGCTTTTTGATATAATTAATGTCTCCTTTACAACATCTTCCCCTGTGCTCGTGCCTGACAGATCCAGCTGTTCGAGTTCTCCGAGAAAGCAGCAGCTCAGGAGTTCCTCTTTGACCATATAAACTGTGTAAGTATGGGATATTTGCTTTATTCTGAGATATTTTGTTGCTTGCTTACATCTTATTTCCCATTCAAAAGTGGACCTTATAGAGATCTCAGGACATTCAGCCTGTTAACGTACAGTTAGTTCATGGATCATTTCTAACCTTTCCTACGGGAAATGATCCTGCTCCCACTAAAATCCCCAGGACTTTACCCACCAATTTCAGCCTTCTCAGTCCACAAACACTGGGTAAACAGGGGCAGCATTTTGTACATTATTCAAATACAAAATATGGTTCCTTGCAACTTTAGCAAAAAATTGGGGAAAAAAGTATACAAAACCACTTTAGCGAATAACTGCAAGTTTATTCTTTTTTTTTACCTGATCCTATTCAAGAAAATTAGTTACAAAATCTTCCCGGAATAACACCGTACCCATTTGGCTCAACATACTCACCCAAGGTTGTCTTAAAGCAGAGGAATTGTTTTCATTAAACATCATATATCTGCCATAATTCATCCCCTGTGATTACTTATTTCTTTTTCCAGTTCAAAGGCGAAGGAAGTCATGGAGTGATCCTATTTTTATACAGTTTGCTTTTCTCTAGGACACTGGAAAGGTATATTTCCTTTTTTAAACATTTTCGTCTAGTTTAGTTACATCTTCTGAAATGGTCTTTTCCTTGTTTTACTTAAATGTCCGTTCTTAGTCGAATGTGGAGAAGCAGCTGCCCAATAGGCAGATGCAGACCCGCTGGCTGTGTTTTACGGCTATTGTACACCCTGCGTATCTGCCTGCACAGCCAGGAGCAGGCAGGAGGGAGCAGTGGGGAAGGGTGAAGCCCTTTTTGCGTACACAGCAAAAATAACGCGCTATATAAAACCAGGAGTTATCCCACCGACAGCAGTAGTCACTGTCACAGTCAATTAAACTTAAACGGGAAAATCACAAGAAGTTCATTTAAGCACAGAAGAATTCTGCCAGCGTGACTATGCTGGCGGAGGGAACTGGTAGGGTCTTTCTAAGCCCGATGTAATTAGATTTGGGTAAAGGTGCTTTAGAAAGGTACAGAGGCATATTTATACCACTATGAAACATGATTCATACTAATGTGACACTATGATAGCTACTTAGCACAAAATTGCACTGCTGCTTTGAACAGTTTACTCAGGCTACGCCTGGTGTAATCGAGGCCTTTCAGCAGTAAGTGCTCCGAGGGAGATCCCGGCTCCGTCTGCAGGGGGTTGAATCTCACCCTAAATTTGAATTTTAATAGGAACAGGTCTGAAGTGCAAGAGCTCCAGCTGACCATAAAACTGCTGTGTCAGGATACCACTGCTGTGCTGACAACACGGAGAAATAAATGAGTCTATGGAATTTCTTCCTGGCTCCCATTAATCAGACAGTGATGCACAGCGATCGCCGCAGGCACTGATCCGGATGCTACCCTAACACTTTATGCTTGGTCGTACAGGGTCCAAGAAGATTTAGACTGCACAGCAACTCCTCTGTTAAAATTCAGTTTTGGAAACATCACCTGTACACAGGTAACATATTAGCCTCATTTCTCAAGTGTTCTTTTTTTATTGATCCCACATTTGATTTAGGGAAAAATTCTCACTTGTTAATCCAATGGAAAAAAAAGCATAAGGCCATAGAAAAATATTTTGGAAATTTTAATGATGACCATCCGTTTAAAAAATGGATGATGATGATGAGAATAATAACAATAATAATAAAGCCACAGGTAGTCTGACATTCCTCTGCTCACGATAGGCACGACAGAGCCAGGAGAGGGATGCCAGCTACCATTTTTCAAAGAGCTTTTGCTGCGCTGCCTCGTGGCCTGACCATGGGCTGTTTCCCCGCAGGCCGTGCTCAGCCTCCTCCTGACGGGCCGAGCGAGCCCGCGCGAGCTCGACAGTGGCCAGGAGCCAGGGCCTGATGGCGGGGGCATCAAAGCATGGCGGCAGCGGGGCCCGGTGGGCTACCTGCGCTGGGGCAGGGCGCAGGCGGAGCGGCAGGTGAGAGCTGGCATGGCCCCGCAGCCCATACCTGACGTCCTCACACCAGACACCAAGGCTTCGGGGACAAAGACCGCATTTAATGCGATGCTTCACCCCCCTCTCCCCAGGTGTGCCCCAGGCTGCGGACGCCCCGGCTGCCAGTCTGGCTGTGCAGCATCACCGGGAGGCACGGCGTTCTCTTCGGCACCGACAGCCGACTCCTCTCCGACTGGAAAACAGAGAGAGTCTTCCACCTGTACTTCTACAACGGGCAGCAGGAGCAGACAAAAACAGCCCATCTAACGATAGGTATGCACCCAAGCTTACCAGGGGAGGATATGAGGTATGGATGTCACACACAGACCATGCATAGAACTGTATGTGTGTATAGCTGGGTGCGTCTACTTACACACAAAATTCAATGTTCTGTACTTAATATACACATACATACAGTGTATATAAATGTCACGGATGAGTTGTTAGGTCACTTAAAGAATTACCGTCAAAGATATTTGCAAAAAAGTGATTTTAATAGACATTTATAAAAGTGTGATTTAACAAAGTTCAATGGCAAGGTTCGCTCTATTACTTATTAAATGAATGGAATATATATAAAGAAAAAAAAATGGAGGTAGAAGCGAATTAGAATGATTTATACAGAGATTGAAAATACAAGGGGGTAAAGGAGGCCTCCCGTTGAGTCACAAGGTTCAGAATGGGCCCCCTTGCTTTCTAAACTCCTCCTCGGAGCGCAGCCTCGGCGTGGCTGGATCCAGACTTCGCCTTAGACTTTATCAACGGTTTATGTCTAAGGATTATATATGTCTAGCAGAAGTTTAAGGTTTATTTACTGTTAAAGAGAGAATCACAGGAATTTAGCAGCAATTGGTTAATTGAGCATTTACAAAGTGATTATATAGGATTCACTACAATATTTGAATCGATTCACACACACGCACACACAATATGCATATAAAGGTACCTGTTAAAAATTCCCCTCGAGCTAAGTGAAATACTCACTTCAAACTATTGTCTCAATGGGCGAAGGTCGAGCCTCAGGGAGTGAGGGGGCCCCCTGAGTTCAGCCCAGGTCCTGTCGCTGGGCCTCTGAATTTTGCAAACTTACGAGTTTGCAAACTTACGAGTTCGCAAACTCTGAGAAGCATCCCACTCGGAGGGAGATACTGGGCACAGCCCGCTGCGGTCCAGGAGAGCTCCGAGGGTCTCACTTGGTACTGCTGTTTATAGGGTCGCAAGATGATTGACTTTAGGCACCAGTAAATTTCCATCCTGGCCACAACCCAGGTTGGTAATTACTGGAGTTCTCAAAAATACCAGTGACGCTGGTACAGATCCACCAGTACCAATCCGCCCGAGTTACAATCCAGGTAAGATTGTAGTCCCAAGGCTGCCAGGGGCTGGCTGATTATTCCTGGTACGGTCAATGCTGCTCCCACCTTAGCCATGCAAGAGTTCCTGGTATGGTCAGGGGACGCTGAACCTCCAAACTCATTGCACAAAGGCCAAGTCTTGACAGGAATTACTGAGATCCTAAAGCGGTCCAGGAGAGGGCGGGGTGGAAAATGCACCACCACAATAACATTAACCTTCCATGGAATGTGAGGAGCCTACTCCAAACAACAGTGTAAAAAGACATGAATAAAAACCTGGCTTTGAAAGGACTGCGACCATTTGGGAAGGGGTAATGTTCTCAAGAAGGTGGCCCATCGCTGGGAAGAGCTATAGGAGTATTTTCTATAGAAGTAATAACTCCCGAGTCCCTGCATAAACTCCGGTTTGCTGACACCCTCCCATCACACAGCTGGTTCCTGGCATGGTGGATGCTCAGCACCGGGCGAAGCCAAGGCCGCGCTGTCCTCCAGTGCCAGGGGGCTGAGCGGGACTCCGGCGGGCAGGCGCTGGGTGAGCTGCCAGCGGCACAGAGTCCATCCCACCCATGGAGCACACAGTGGGGACGGCCACGGGGCCCACCTCCCCGGGCACAGAGCCCGCGGTCTTGTCCTACCATGGGGGGCACTCAGGACTTTGCCATTTTTTTCCCCTACTCCCAGATGTGGCCAAAGAGTTTTTATTGGAGAAGTGATAGTTTTTCAGGAAACAAGATGCAGCTGTTGCTTCTGTGTTAAATACTCAATATGGACATACTGTTTAAAACCGTGTTTCATCTTCCGTTGCTATTAAGCCCCCATCAGTCCGATATGAATGCCTCACTGACTAAGTGTCCTCAAACAACTAGTAGGAGAAGGGAAACCCACAGACACCCACCCCTCCCATGGGACAAATCCCAGGAGAGAACATTCCTGTAAGTGCAAATTTTAAATACAACAGGAAGCAGAATCATTTCATGATTAATTCAAAATTTTGAATAAAGCTATTTCTAATGCAGCGACGCTGGCATGCAGGATGGGTTAACAGCCTGTTTTCAGCATCTGACTTAGACTTAAGTTTATGTACTCCTGCCTAGCAGCCAGGTGCCAGCGTGGCCCTCATGTTCCCCCTCAAGTTTTAAATCCACACCAGGAGGAGTGAACTGCTCCTTGTAGCATCAACTGGGTTGCAAACCAGGCTGCGGGCTTAGGATGCAAGTTTCTTGTTTCATGCCACTGTGCACCATTTGCCTTCACTTTCTGAATGCCCAGCCCCTTTTGCTTGCTCTCCTTTCACTTTGGCATTTAAAGTAAAGTAAGAAACTTGAAAACACCACACTAAAGGCTAAATTTGCAGGAAAGAAGGGTGAATCAAGATTTACAGTCATGATACGCAGCGCGGCTGCAGATAAGGATGTGCGCGCCGGTTCAAAAAACCAATATGCAAACGTACCCTGCAAGGAGTCAAGAGCTGTATTTATAGCACCTGAATTTCCAAAGGTGGGGGCCCGCGCAGCACAGGGGACAGCCCCCACCGCCCCCGGGGACACCGAGACAGCGCTGCCCCGACCTCCCTCCTGGGGCAGGGCGGGCAGCACACCTGCAGCAACCCAGCTGGTTCTGCTTTTAACCTTTTCTAAAACTTTTTTGAGGGGGTTGGGTATTTTACACTTTTTTTTTTTTTTAACTGCGTTTCCTTTTCAGACACTCATTCACATCACTGGGAAGAGGACCGAAGTGAAGAGCCAAGCAGCCCAGGGAAGAGGCGTCCATCCGTGGAGATGGCAATCAGGACCAAGTGGGCAGGCGCGACCGTCAGCTGGAATGGGACAGACCCCTTCTGAGGAGTCGAACGGGACAGATCCCTTCTTCTAAGGAGTCCCGGCATCTCCCACTCACTGCCGACTCTACCAAACACTGCAGTCTGGAGGAGAAAAAGCGCTTTCACCAATAAAACAGCCTTTGGTGCCTTGAGCGGACGCCCTGTTCAGCAAGGCATTACACCCACCTGCACTGGTGAGGAACAGTTGCTAGCAACACTGCCTCACTGCACACATTTTCCAGGTGGTAGGATGCAGGTTCTTCTGCTTCCCACGCCAGCTGGCAGACAAACGAAAGAGGGTGGCAATTTGCTTTCCTCCCATGCCAGGCAGAGATGCTAAAGAAATCAAGGTGTCTCTGAAGAGTGCAGTGGAAGTGAAATCAATGTTGAGCGTTGACAATACTGTGTGCATCTAATTTATTTCATCCAGTGTGTGCAACTAATTTAGCTGTTTGCATCGCGTAAGGTTTCCTCCCAGCTCTCTGCAGCTGTGACTTCTACAACCAGGTCTCTCTCCCACTTTAGCGACAGCTCGAGTGCAGATCCCGTCCAGGTTGGCTCACGGATCTATCCTGCATCCCATGCACCAGTGAGCAAGCACAGCTCATACATGGGGACCAGGGCAGAACAAAGTCTCATGACTTCTCATGCTATGAATTCAGCGATTTTACTGACTCTGAGCGTGGCCAAGTCCTGGCACCCTGCGGCAGCTTGGCGAGCACAGGCAGGGCACATCACTCCTTGCTCACGTTAACCACTTTCCACTTCCTTTTTTATAGACATCACCCAAAAAAGACTTATTAGTCATACCAAAATGTGTGTTGCTAATAAAAACTGTACTGAGAACAATAAACCTTTCTGCAAGTGATCCAGGAGTTTAGTTTAGATGATTTGAATTAAAAAAAAAAAAAAAAAAAAAAGGTGGTCACAACCAGCCTGAGATTCAGCCCGGCCGGGGCGAGGAGCCCACTGGTTAGCAAGCTAACGTGGGGTCTGCACTTGTCATCGCCCCCCTTCTTCACTTTCTGCACAATTCAGAGCTCCCCCGAGTGCATGGCATCCCCGCTGCAGGGCTGTGGGCCAGCTGAAGCGCTGCAGTCCCCAGGTGCCCACAGCCCCGGTGACACCGACAGGCGTGCCACTGCCGCCCAGGCACGGGCACTGCGCAGAAGGGCCGGAGGCAGGGCTGGGAGACCCCAAAACCTGGGGGACATCGGTGAGTCGGCAGCCCCCAGTGCCAGCTGCGGAGCTGCCAGCACAAGGCAGAGCCAGAGGGTGCTGGCAGGTGACAGGCAGCCTGCCTGCAGGCAGGAGGGCACCCTGTGCCCCCACCCCACCAGAGCCTCCTGCCAGACTGGGGAGGCCGCGCTGCCCACCCAGCAGCACCCGGGGCTGCCCATGGGGGCTGCACATCGGAGCCGGGGACAAGAGGGTGGAGAAGAGCCCACACTAAGGCAGGGGCCTTGCAACAGGACACTGCAAGACAGCACTTATTTTAACCGGGGAATACCAGCATGCGCTTATGCAAATAATGAATTAATAATGAATGAATGAAACTCTGCGGTAAATGCTAACGAAGCTCGGTCACCCAGCACAACGCGGTATATTGCAAGGCTATGTATGCTGTAGAATAGCTAAACAGGTTACTACGGAGATAAAAGGATGGAAAGACAGGCCTTCCAGAGATGTTTTCCGTGGCGAGGCAGCAGCGCCAGCCCTTCCTCTTGCTCCTGACAAGCCGTGGGGACGGTCAGCGTGTCTGGCCCTGCCTGCACCGGCTCTCGCTCGTGCTGCAGAGAAGGGACCCAGGGCTGCCAGGTCTGCGCCAGCCTGCCCCCCTGCCGTGACCGCACCAGCGACTCTGGCCACCGGCGCAGGCAGGGGAACGGGGCATCAGGAGCAGGGTCCCCTGTCCCTTCGGCCACGCCATCGCCCCCAGACCCCCGTCTCCCACCCCGGCCCCTGCTCACCCACACCCCGCGGCTCCCTGTCCTGCTCACGAAACTGGGTGCAGCAAATGCCCATCTGATTGCTAAAGACAGAAAAAGGAAGAGAAACCATGCAGACTGCAGGAACACACGCCCTCGCTGCCTCCCTCGGGCTTTCATCCTTCTGCCCCCACATCCTCATGTCTTTTTATAACCCTCTTGCAGTGCAGGGCTAAATCCGAGCTGCTAATTTCCCTCAATGAGAAACAAGCCCTTGCTCATTTGTGTGAGGTAACATCATGCTTATGAGTGCTTTAAAAATAAGAAGCAGTAATGACACAATCTCACTATTAGTCAAACTTTTCTGAAAAACCCCCACAGCTCTGGCACGTCAAAAAGCTGTGTCCTCATGACAGGGGACAACAGCTACAGATTTTCACTTCTAGTCTGGAAATTTCTTTGCAGAAGACAAACAAACCTTGCAAAACCCCACAAACATCCCACAGATACTCAGGGGTGCTGTCATGCTCTGTCACGCCAATATTTGAGGGCATCAGGGACTACCTGGCAAGGAATGCGAGCAACAAATCCAGACACGCACAAATGAAACTCATGCCATGTTTTGGCACCTTGCATGAGTCGATCTCAAGGAGGAAACAAGTATCAGAGCCTCTGGCAGCTCGCGGACAAGCTGCAGGTTTTAACCTCCAAGGGAGTCGCACAAGAAGGAAGAAACGGGACCAGCTGCGTGAAAAGGCTTTTGAGGCCACACCTTACCTCCGGAGACAAACTCTCCATTAACTTTCCTGGCAGGAAGGGAAGGTGTCAGCTCTTCCCCGCGTGGATGTGCCAGCATCTGTAAGTCTCAGCTGGGCGCTGCCGCTCCGCTCCCAGCCACCCTCCCACCGCCCTCCCCTTCCCGGCCACGTAGCTTCAGAAAGTGGTGGAAAACGTCCGTCACCCGCGAGGTCCCTCTCCTGCACGGACCTGGTCGCTGATAGGCGATGGGCTCTGAAGCTGCAGAGGAGACAAGCAGAGCTCATTTCTCTATTTACCACTGTTTTACAAATCGCCTTTTTACTGCAAATAACTATTGCTATGGCATAGACACGGTAACCTACAGCGTTGCAGGGAGCCAGGCTATGGTTATCTCCAGAGACCGGTGTCTTTGCTAGCGGAGGATCAATAACCGGGGAAGCCAGTGGCAGCCTTGTACCTTTCTGGCACTTATTCGACCAGCTCAGAGTCTGACTCGTGCTTTCCCATTTATCCCAAGCAGAAGAAATGGACTCTATTCAGAGTATCTTTAAACCAGACACCAACCTCCTAAAAACTATTTTGTACATTATTTATTTAGGAGGAGTCTTTGGGGCTGCTAAAAAAAATGTGGGATAGCCACATTCTGACATTGAAAAAAATATTTTTTATATACAGAGAGAGGTTAAATAACATATTTTTAAATTACCCTGTATTATTGAAAGCACAGAAAAACCACATTTTATTTGTATAAACATCCACACCGTTCCAATCTATTTGTGAAAAGGCTCTTATTTTTCCTCTTCCCTATACCACAGAATATATAATAAACCATAAACCAAGTAAGAGGTCTTCTCCAAGACCACAGGACTATTCTGGCCTTGTTTTCATGCCAGGCCGTGGGATCAGGGGGCAAAAGGGCTCAGCACTCCAGGATGGAGACAAGAATCTCAGGGCCTATTGACTTTGATTCTCTAATCTCAAAAGACACACTCATATGCCTATGGCAAAGTTTCTCAACAGCTTTTACAACCCAAGTTCTCTGTTTTGTTTTGATACAACCTATAGGTAAAAACAACAGAGGGAAATTTCTCAAAATCTTAACAACTCAGTAGCCTTTTTTAGTCCATATATTGTACGGCCATATAATTCCTAGAGAAAATGGTACAAACATCTCAATTATACCGTGTCTGAACCTATTAAACATTTTTTTCCGAGCAGTTAGTTATCAAGAGTTTGGCTTTCTGTTGTGAATTCAGTTTTAATTGGAACTGGTTTGGTAAGCCATCGGTGAAGATTTTAAGCATAATTTTATTCCAAGAGGCCAAAATACTGTCATTCTTTGAGAGCGATTTTTTTTTAAACTACTCAGTGTAACTTGCAAATCTTTCCTGAGTGCCATCTAACTTCTAGGGCACGTGGAGAGACGGCTGTCATAGGCTTCATTCAGTGCAGTGCTTGGTTCCTATAAAAATCCAGCAAGAATTTAGGTGCTCATTCCCATTTGTGCTTTCCTGGTGAGGTCCACCCTATGATCTCGTTAATTTGTACCTTATAAAGTGCAAGGCCTTTTCATTACACCCGAATGCACGGTGTATTATTGAATGACTTCTCAAAATAGCAAAGGAAAACAACCTGTAAAACTCTCTGTCAGGGGAACTGTATACAAAAGGATTTTTTTCTCATTTCTTGGCCTGTGCCGTCTTGCAAGGTTTAATGGAACTTTACAACTGTGAGAAAAAAAATCAGGCTTCGGGTAATAAGCCATCTTCTTTTTAATGAAAGTTTTTTAATGAAAGTTGAGCACAGATAGCGCCTTAATTGAGAATTCTGCGAGGCCTGGAGTCAAGAATGAGTCACACAGCTGCACATCCTAAAGGAACTTTGATAATAACACCACTTCAGCGAAGCCTTAAAAATGCTCGATGTGGGTATCTCGGAAGAAAGTACTGCTCATTTAAGGAGGCAAATTGCAAGGAGAACTCTTGGGAAAATAATACAGGTGAGAAAAACTTGCCCATTCTGCTGACAGGGGAAATAACCTGGTACGACGAAGCTCGTTTCTGGTCACCCTGATTGTGTGCAGGATTCTGTACGAAGCAGGTGAGAACCGCACCTACGCCCAGAGCGAGGAGAGCCACGGCACCCCAGGGCCAGGAGAACATTGGACAAGCAGCCTATACGCAGATACGCCTATTGAGCGATGGCTCCACCACCTACAAGCAAACGCTCTTCTTTATTCCTCAGTCCTGCTGCGACAGGAAAGGGATTTTGGAAGATTTCTGTCCTGGGACTTCAGCGCCTTCACGTCTCCAGCGTTACTGAATCAGAAGACGTGCAAAGAACCAGATTTATTTTTCCCCGAAACTTTGTTTCTCCGGGGAACGAAAACAGCCCAACTCCTTTCCTTGGCTGGTCCCCACGTGTAAAACCCGAAGGAAGAAAATACCGCATTCTAAACAACATTTCGGTATGTCAATATTCAACAATGCTGAATAAACATTCAACACCTCGGAACAGCCCCAAACCCCTTTTATTGCTCTTGTCCACGTTTAT